TGTGTTTGTGTGTGTGTGTTTATGTGTATGTGTGTGTGTTTATGTGTATGTGTGTGTGTTTATGTGTGTTTGTGTTTGTGTGTGTGTGTGTTTATGTGTCAATGTGTGTGTGTTTATGTTTATGTGTGTTTATGTGTATGTGTGTGTTGATGTGCGTGTGTCTGTGTGTGTGTGTTTATGTGTATGTGTGTGTGTTTGTGTGTGTGTTTATGTGTACGTGTGTGTGTGTTTATGTGTATGTGTGTGTGTGTTTGTGTGTGTGTTTATGTGTATGTGTGTGTGTGTTTATGTGTGTTTGTGTGTGTGTGTGTGCATAAGCTCAGCCATCACCAATCCAGACCATTAGGGGGAGCTCCTGTTCCTTTGCTGTTGAACTCTGTACCAATAAGTGGCAGTAGAATCCCCCTCCCCTACCAATGGCCTTTCCCACTGTCCCAGGGTCTGTCTGCTAGAGTTACAGAGTCAGAGAGTCAGACAGCACGGAAACAGACCCTTTGGTCCGCCCAATCGATGCCGAATATAATTTCAAACTAGTCCCACCTGCTTGTTCCTGGCCCATATGCCTTTAAAACTTTCCTATTCACGTACTTATTCAAATGTCTTTTAAACATTGTAATTGTACCCGCATCCACCATTTCATCAGGAAGTTCATTCCACACACAAACCACCCTCTGTATAAAAAATTTGCCCCTCATGTCTTTTTTAAATCTCTCTCCTCTCACCTTGAAAATGTGTCCCCTAGCCTTGAAATCCCCCATCCTAGGGAAAAGACAACCACCATTAACTCTATCTATACCTCATTATTTTATAAACTTCTGTAAGATCATCTCTCAACCTCCTACGCTCCAGTGAAGAAAGTCCCAGTCTATCCAGCCTTGCCTAATAACTCAAACCTTTCATACCCGGCAACATTCTTGTGAATCTCTTCTGAACCCTGTCCAGCTTGGTAACACCCTTCCTGTAATTGGGCAACCAGAACTGGACATGGTATTTCAGAAGAGGCCTCACCTATGTCCTATACAACCTCAACATGACTTCCCAACAAGACTAGTGTTCTACAGAATTTATAGCACAGAAATAGGCCATTTGGCCTAACTGGTTCTGCTAACTTTTTTTCTCCATACAAGTTTCCCCACACCCCTCTTCATCCCATTCCCATCAATATATCCTGCAATTTCTTTCTCTCTCATGTGTTTATCCAGCTTCCGCTCCAATGTGTTGATACTGTTCCCATCACCGAATCCCTGTGGGAGTGAGTTCCATATTCTCCCCACTCTCTGGGAGAAGAGGTTTCTTCTGAAATCCTCATTGGTGTCTGAGTGACTGCCTTACGGCACCAAGTCCTGGCTTAGCCCGCAAGACAAATATTTTCTCCGTGTCTAACAAACCCCTTTGTGATTATAAGTACCTCTGTCAGGTAGTTCTTCAAGGAGAAATTTCTGGAGGAATCTGTGCCAAGCTTCTGAATATTATTCTGTTCTCTGTGCAGTTTAAGTTAAATGGAGCAGTCATCTCTTCCTTGGTCTGAGGCAGTGCCTGTAGGGAGTGAGGAGGGGGAGTCGGTGGGTGGACATGGTAGTATGAACCAAACCTGGTTGCTCGGTTTCACATAATGCTGTCAGCAGTGAGACCATTCACTCAGGATTCATTATGTAGGCATGGTTCGGTAATTTAATCTGGATTAAATGAAAATAAAGCGAATATGTCAGAGATCATTGTTCCTGAGAATTGCGTGAGGCTGATATTGCACAACCTTTGTTAAGGGACTTGCATTTATACAGCACCTTCTATGACAGCAGGACATCCAGAGCACCTTACAGCCAATGCTGATTCTTTTTTAAAAGTGTGGTCACTGCTGTATTTCAAGAAGCACAAGAAGATCACACAAACAACGTGATATAAAGACTAGGTCATGTAAGTGCATAAGAAATAGGAGTGGGCCATTCAGCCCCTTAAACCTGCTATCCTATAAGATCATGGTTGATCTTCCTCAGCCCTCAACTTCTCTATGTATCTCTGTCCTCTTTAAACACTGTCAGTGATCTGTGATTGAAGAATAGAGCTTGAAGCAGCAGGCGTAGCTTGTACAGTTAGATCAGTTGGCTGGACAGCTAGTTAATGATGCTGATTAATGCCAACAGCACAGAGTTAATTCCCACACCAGCTGAAGTTACCATGAAGGTTCCATTTTCTCAAACGCACCCCTCAGCTGAGGTGTGGTGACCCCCAGGTTAAACACCATCTGCCGTCTCTGTCTCTCTCTTCATGAGAGAGGAGCCCTATGGTCCTCTGGGACTACAGTTACTTTATTGTAATTACTGTTAGGAGCTTATAAACTGCTCCCACCGGTGATCCCTTGTTGTTCCCATTTCTTATCTCTGCCCAAACTGATTCTACATCTTGCTGTTTCAAGCTAAGGTCATCTTTCACTACTTTCACTTATTGAACAGAATTATCTCACTACCCTTTCCTACCTCTGTTTCAAATGTCAAATACTCTTCAATATTCATGTTCTAGCTTTAATCACCTTGCCACCAATTCTCTACAATGGCTATCAGCCCTGACATAGAACAGAGAACAGTACAACACAGTACAGGCATACTTTACTTCTATCGATGTTAAGAATTCATTCATTTCATTATGAATATTGCATGTAGTCAGATACAGAGCCTTTCGTTCTGTAATTGTTTCATATGTGTAATTTTTGACCTTTCTGCTGAAGCACTCCGTAGGTTGTGTTCTCTGTCCCTTCCTGCCATATCCTGATCCATCACTACCTAAACCGTAACCTTGCTTGATTATCCTGTTTGATCCCTTTCGGTGCAAGTTGAAGGATTTGTATTGACCCAGGACACTGGGGAGAATTCCCTGCTCTTGCTGGAAAGAGTGTCTCAACGTCTTCTTTTCTGCATCTGAGCAGTCCAACTGGGTTACGTCTCATCCAAAAACAAATAACTCATCTGACAGTGCAGCAGTGCCTCCGTACTGCAGTGAGAGTGGCAACCTAAGATTTTCAAATCTCTGGGTGGGAATTGAACCCCTAACTCTCCGGCTCAGGCACGAGAACTGCCCATTGAGACGGGACAGGCAGCTTGTGGCTCTTTGGGGTGGGGCTTGGGGTGATCTCGAACTGTGCAGTCCCTTAAAATTCCCTGCCCCGTTTCCTCCTTTTAAGGTGCTCCTTAAAGTTCTGAGTCTTTGCCCAAGAGTCTTGTCACCTGTCTTAATACACCTTTTGTTTTTACGTTTTCTGTTAAACTTTGCTTGATAATCACTTGTATTAAACACATTTGTCCTTTTTACAATGTTACATTTACTACCTGAATGCACATTGTTGTTGTTGTAACCAGTAAGACTCAGACACAGCACCTTTAACTTTAGATAGTTTTATTAACTTTTTAAATGAGTTAATATTTCAAATGTGTAAGCCCCAGATGCAATCATTACAAATTTCAAAGTTTATGTTAAAGGTAAAGCAATAGTTAGTTGTTTCAAGAAAATTATAGACTGTTTGAATTTCCAAACAGAGAGATGTCTTAATTGCAAGCAATTTTTCATGATAAAATCACTTCCAATAAACTTTTAATAATTACAAATAAACATTGGTAACCCTTTTCCACACCCATGTTAATCTGATAGAGACTTTTGAAAAGAATTTACCAACTTTGAATTAAAATATTTTGATTTAGCAAGTGTAACATTTCAGAAATCCAGTAGTTGGCCAATAAGTGATCTATGACAGTGACTGATGGAACCGTCCCTAAAATAGGGAGAAGTCAGAAGAGACTGAGATTAAAAGTAAGAATCTCTTTCATCTGCCCCTCTGCACCAAAGGTGAGGACAGGCATGAAGATCTGATCAGCTGCACTTTATTTCTTGTCTTCATCTGCACCCTTGGAAATTGTCATAGCATGAAACATATAATTGGGGTCAAGGATAGTTAGCGCCACTCTTCGAGACAGCTTGGAAGCCATGTCCTGAAAGAGCTCTGGATTTGGACATATGGGGTCAATGCCTGAACTCCCGGGAACAAGTGCAGCCATCCTCTGATTCTCCAGTAATTTAGTCTCAACTGCAAAAACAAAAGTAGAGATCAATAGTTGCCTTATGGCCATTACAAGGAATGTGCAGCACAGAATGACTCCTTTAGGCATTTCACTTTTGCTAATGGTGCACACGGTTCTCTTCCCACCCACTTTTCATCTCACCCTGTCAGCCTGCCCTTCAATTCTTGCTTTCCATTATGTTTATCCAGCTTTCCCTTAAATGTATCATTACTACCATGCACCTCAACCACACTCTGTGGGAGCAAATCCCACACTCTCACTGCTGTCTGGGTAATAATTACATAAAATCGTGCGTTATTTTGGTGACTATTTTTTCAACAACCAGGTGTCTGAAAGTGCTTTACAGGCAATGATGTGCCTTTGAAGTGGAGACACTGTGGTCATATAGGAAAAGATGTAGCCAATATTTATGCCCAAGGATGGATACTATAAGTTGGAATGTGAAATGGCTAGAGAATCTTATTTCTGCATGTTAATTGAGGGCTAAATGTTGGTGAGACACTGAGGTGCGCTCCCAGCTCTTCATCGAAATAGCACCACGAGATATTTTACATCTATTTCAGAGTACTTTACTTACTCGTCCAAAAGATAGTGTTCAAGAACAAGCAATGAGCAACTTACATCAGAAATTGTGATTTTATCAGATTTTTGGATGTACCATTCTGCTGTGTAAATTTTATCGTCTTTTTTAGCCTTTTCATTCACTGCCTTTGCCAATTTAACCCATTCTGTTTTTACATGTTCGCCAGTACGTCGATCATAGAGCTGGGTCCATCTGGTAACTAACTCAGTCAAGAAGGGTTCCTTAATTTCTTCTGTCAGGTTGTGCTCTTTCTTAGCTTCTGTCTTCTTGTCACCATTCCCCTTTGATTCGGCCATCTGTGGAAGGTAAGAGATTGGAAAGAACAGGGATACTCTTTGCAGCAATGTAGACAAATTAATTAACCATCTTTTAGGGCTGAGAGCTACTTACCTTTCACTCCTCATGCTGACTGTGCAGAAAATCTTCCTTCTCTCTTTTTATGCTCTTTCCAATCAAACACTCAAGCATTTTGCTTCTGATCCAGTTGTGTTTAAATACCTCTGACCAATTATAACAAAACATATTTGATAATATTCTAATGGGATTGCAAGGATAATGCTGTGTTGGCTGTATTTCAGGCTCAACAAGATATTTCTTCCTAACAGAAAGTGCCATGGGTGTGGAACACATCGCCATGGAGTGAAATGGTGAACAAACCCAAGCTAAACCTCAGTTGTGGTCAATGGGCAGCGAAATGTTCCCTTGTCTGTGGGAAAGTTGTAGCAAGTTTAAAGGGGGAAAAGGGGACTGAAACATACTTGGCATTGAATGGAACGATGAGGTCAGTAATAGAAACATAGAAGACAGGAGCAGGATGAGGCCATTCAGCCCTTCAAGCCTGCTCTGCTATCCATCACAATCATGGCTGATCGTCCAGCTCAATAGCCTAATCCTGCTTTCTCCTCATAACCTTTGATCCCATTTGCCCCAAGTGCTATGTCTAGCTGCCTCTTGAATACATTTGATGTTTTGGCATCAACTACTTCCTGTGGTAATGAATTCCACAGGCTCATCGCTCTTTGGGTGAAGAAATGTCTCCTCATCTCCGTCCTAAATGGTCTACCCTGAATCCTCAGACTGTGACCCCTGGTTCTGGAATAGCTTGGGGTCACTAATCTAGTGACAGTTTCACTGCACCACTGTCTCCCTGGTTAGTGATGTTGGATCAGATGAAATTGGGTCCTGAGTGTGTCTGTTCCAGTAATGGCATCTCTTACTCTCCCTTGTAGACAGTTTTATTCAATACAGCCTGTTAGCGTCCACTCACCTGAGTGTACAAGCTGACCAATGGTGATCCGAGCCCTGGACCAGGAGAAAGGAGCAGTGTGTGGTGGTTCTGAAACTCAGTGACTGTGCAGTGATACAGGTGAAGGGCGAATCTGGCTGGTAATCGAAACACTGAAGTGGGAGAAATCCTAAAGAAAAGGCTAGCAGCAACAGGAATATCTGGCGACTTACTTCAGGCCTATTTGGCATCAGAACACAGAAGGGGAGAGCTCACACAAAGGCTGAGAAAACCTGAGAATGCTGGAAGCTACCAGCAAATGTAATCAGCAACAGTGTGTGAGCTATTGTTGTAGATCAGAAATCTTTAAGCAAATGACCACAAAAAACAGGAAACCCCTCTGCAATGGAAAAAGACAGCAGGAAAGCCAAGAAATCTCATAAAAGCCACAATCTAAATAGAAAATACACTAACGATGGGAATAAACCTGACAGTTACCAGATCCTTCAGGTGACACAAAGGCTCCTCTCCCGTCTGTGTATTGGTGTCAATAGTATGACACAGGCTGTGCAGCTTCAGGTTAAAAAGTCGAATCAAGTCTGGGTCAGGGTACAAGCCCAGCTGTAGTACCACCACCATTGTCTCCAGGCAAAACCAGGGCAGAAATAAATACAACATGCAGTGATTCATTCAACTCCTTTCATCATTGATGGTAAATGGCTCATTACGGGTCAGAGGCTAATCGCTGCAGTCAGGAGCTGGAAAAGCTGTTGACTCTTTTATAAAGAATATAAACCACCTCGCGGATATCTGCCAATGTGGATCTTTGAGAAAGGAGTCAATACAGTCAATTGTAGTGCGTGTCCTGAAAGAACCCTTATCAAAATTCCTACGTTCCTGCTGACCTAAAACATCAGCTTCGAGCAGGCACTCAATGTTCTCGAGCCCACATCATTCAGATCCTGATAGAGATTCCACCCAAAATGTTATTGTTTTGTTGTGAAGTTTGGGCTTCTAGCCCTTTGCTGAAAGTGATCTTGAGCGTTTCTGTGTCTTGCTGAAAACACTGAACTGCAGCGTCCTGTTCCCATTCCGTGCAGGTCCATAATTTCCGCTCATTGACTGTTGACATAATCCAGTTTGGATTTACAGATCTCCTTTTCTCTGGATAGCTTTTTGTTGCCTGCTTGCAGTTGTTGATGTGTTGTCTCTGAGGATTGAAGATTTTCTCCAAATGTGGCAAGTTCATGTTCTCACATCTTTACATGTAATCGACTACTGCCATCACAGCTTGGCATCATCCAGCTTGCCTGAAGGTTCAATGCTCCCACCCACTTCTCCCTGTGTCTCCCAATGCCAGAACCCCTACTCCACTCCCACGCCCAAAAAGCACTTCCCTGAAACCTTGATCCTGGGGTCACTTCTGGTGTCAGGTACAACTTGTTGCAGGGCACTGCCTGTCACATGAACCACTTGACCTTGACTGACTGGCAGCTTTTGTTGTGTAGGGACTTGTTTTGATAAAAAGGCACTCTCCAAACTGCCCAATTGGAGGAAGATACAGGGAGCCTTGCTGTAAACAATGAGTCAGGTGTTTCACCGTCTTTTCAATGAGTGATCAAGAAATCCAACAGAAATTGAATTGTACAATTATAGAGCACACAAGACACCCTTTGGCGCATCACATCAGCGCCGAGAAAAACTGCTCTAAATCTACACCAGACCCAGTTTCCAGCACTTGGCCCATAGCCTTGAAGGTTATGACATGTCTGATGTTCATCCAGGTAATTTTTAAAGGTTGTGAGGTTCCCATCTCAACTACCCTCCCAGGCAGTGCTTTCCACCATCTTCTGGGTGAAAAGGTTTTTCCTCAAATCCTCTCTAAACCTTCTGTCTTTTCATTTTAAAATAATGCCCTATACAATTGACCCTTCAGTTAAAGAGAACTACTGCTTTCTATCCACCCTATCCATAACCCTCATGATCTTACACACATCTATCAGGTACCCCCTCAGCCTTCTCTACTCCAAAGAAAACAACCTGAGGTAATCCAGCCTCTCTTCATCGTTGAAATGCTCCACCCCAAGCAACATCCTGGTCAATCTCCTCCCCACCCCCTCCAGTACAATGAGATCCTTCCCATAGTGTGGTGACCAGGACTACACACAGTACTCCAGCTGTAGTCTCACTGAAGTCCTCCGCAGCTGCAACATGATCTCCCTTCCACTATAATCAATGCCAGGAGTGAGAAAGGCAAATGCCTACTATGCTTTCTTCACGACACCATCAGGGATCTGTAAACAAACAGCCCAAGATCCCTCTGTTAAAGAATACTGAATGCTTGGAAAGAGTGGATATTGGGAAGATGTTTCCATTGGCAGGAAAGACCAGGTCCCAATGGCACATCCTTAGAGTAAAGGGAAGACTCTTTAGAACGGAGATAAGGAGAAGCTTCTTCAGCCAGAGAGTGGTGAATCTATGGAATTCACTGCCACAGAAGGCTGTAGAGGATTGGTCATTGAGTATACTTAAGATAGACTGTTCAGTGGATCAAAGGCTTTGGAGAGAAGGTGAGAGAATGGGGTTGAGAAAAATATCAGCCATGATTGATTGTGGAGCAGACTCAATGGGCTGAATGGCCTAATTTCTGCTCCTATGTCTTATGGTCCTATGGTCTCTATTCCTCTGAGCATCCTAGTGTCCTGCCATTCATTGAGTATTCCCTTGTCTTTACACTCTTTCCAAAGCAGATCACCTCTCTTTTATCAGAGTTAAGTTCCATCTGTCACTGATCTGCCTATCTGACCAATCTATTTATACCCTCCTGTAAGCTAACACCTTCAACCTCCCTGTCAACCATCTGGCCAATCTTCATGTTATCCACAAACTTACTTATCATGTCCCATCATGCTTCATCTGCATTATTTATATACATCATAAGGGACCCAGCACTGATCGCTGTGGTACACAGACCCAGTCACAGTAACATCCTTCTACTACCATCCTCTGTCTCCTGTCACTGAACTAATTTTGGATCCAACTTGCCAAGGTTATCCTGGATCTCGTGAATTTTTGCCATCTTTATCAGTCTCTTATGTGGGACCTTGTCAAAGGCTTTGATGACATCCATATAAACCACATGAACTGTATTACCCTCATCTAAACACTTGTTTACATCCTCACAAAATTCCACCAGATTTGTTATACACGACCTCTCCTTGTCCAAACCAAACTGACTAGCCCTGATCAAACCTTGCCTCTCCAAACGGAGATTAATTTCCTCCTTCAAAATTTTCTCCAATTGTTTCCATCTCAGTGAGGTGAGACTCACTAGTTTCTACCTGCTCAAGAACCTCTCAGTCCCTCTTCCCAAATTCTGTACCTATATTGTCCTTCTCCTGAGTGAAGACAGATGTGAAAAACTCATTCAACACTTTACCAGTGTCTTCAGGCTTCACACAGATTGACACTTTGGTCTTGCATGGGCCCTACTCTTTGCCTGGTTATCCTCTTCCCCTTGATATACTTATAGAATATCTAGTGATTTTTAATAATCTTACCCACCAGTGGTTTTTCATATCCCCATTTGCTCTCGAAATTCCTTTCTCAAGATTCCCCCTGCACTTTTTATAGCCCACTGGGACCTCACTCACTTTGTACCTGTAAATAGCCTGTCTTTTCATTTTTATCCACTCCTGAATATCCATAGACATCCAGCGTTCTCTGGGCACGTTGCTCCTACGTTTCACCCCAAAGGGAACATATTAAGTCTGCAATGTCACCAATTTCATCTTTGAACGCTCCCTATTCTGCTGTAGATTTGCCGTCAAGTCCCCAATCCTATTCTACTTTGACCAGATCCTGTACTGTTTAAATAAAACCTGCCTTCCCTCAATCCAAAACCCTGTTTTGCAGACCATCTTTTACTTTTTCATAACAAACTTAAAATATAAGGCATTCTGTTCATTATCACTAAAATAGTCCCCCACAGCCCAGAATTCAGTCCAGCGCTACACTATCCCTCGTTGAACCATCTACACGTTGACATCAAAGTCTCTCTTGTAAATGTCTCAAGCAGTCTGTCCCCTCTAAACCCCTTATGCTGTGATTATCTCAATTAATATTGGAGAAGTTGAAATCCCCTAATATAATTATCCTATTATTATTTTGTTTGTTTTGTTGAAAATTTTTGATTTGTTATCTTGAACTCATTTCCTTCTTCCACAAATACCAATCATGGGATAGAAGGTAGAAGAATTTTGAAATGTCTATGCTTTTATCTGATTTTATACAATAGTCATCATCATTAATCTGATTAACACCCTGCCGAACCCAATGTTTGACAAGAATCAAGCCATCATTTAACCTTGGTATCTTGTCTAACTCCTCTACATTCTGCTCTCCAAACAATTTCAGTAGGAAATTATATTTACAACTCCTTAGTAATTCGATAAAACTTTTTTCCTTTATTGATTTCTGCACCATTATAACAGGAGACTACACGCTTCTTGTTAGTGACAGTCAGGGATTTCATGATTTACTGTTGTAACACTGCATTGTTCTGGACACTCTCGCTCAAAACAGCAAATGTTACTTCTGCTTATAAACCTCACGTTTGGCAACTAAATGTCTCTGTACCTCAGCAGTTTCAAATTTGTTGGACATTAAGTTTTCCCAAATGACATTCTTATGTTATGATATTTCTCTAGTATCAATACAACCAACAGTCAAGTTTTGGTTTGTATCTCTGAATTTTGCAGGGATTATTCAACCTTTATATGTTTTACTCATACCTTTATCTGCTTTGAGTTCTTCACTACTGAGGGTAAAATTTAGTGGCTCAAGTTCTGAATCATCCCTTTGTAGGCTTGGAAGTCAGGCGTCACATTAAAAATACATTCGTCTCTAATGCTGGCCTAGTGCATTATTTTCCTGTTCTTCTTTTCTGTTGTTTTATTGTTTGTGTTGAAGTAACAAGTTGAATTAAACAGATAGGTAATGGCTGTTTCTCTATTTATTATCAATCAGGACTCTTCACGACTTTATCCTCCTGCCTTCATCACCATCAATCCTTTATTAACAAAGGCAGATCCCACCCTCTTTCCTGCTCCTAATTGAAAGTCGCCAGCTCAAAGAAGAAAAGTACCCAGACTGTTTGAGAAGTAGATCAAAGAAGAGAATCCCTACAGTGTGGGAGCAGGCCCTTCAGCCCAACAAGTCCACCCTGACCCTCAGAGCATCCCACCCAGACCCATTCCCCTATAACCCACCTAATCTACACATCCCTGAACACTACGGGCAATTTAGCATGGCCAATCCACCTAGCCTGCACATCTTTGGACTGTGGGAGGAAACCGGAGCACTGGGAGGAAACCCACGCAGACACAGGGAGAACATGCAAGCTCCACACAGACAGTCACCCGAGGGTGGAATCGAACTGGGGTCCCTAGCACTGTGAGGCAGTAGTGCTAACCGCTGAGCCACTGTGCCACCCTGTACATGACCATGAAGAAAAAGTTCTGATTCTAAGGTACTTGGCTCATAGCCTTGTGTGCCTTGACATTGCAGTTGCACCACTCATCATTTTATGCATCTTAATCATGTTCCCCTTGCCTCAATCTCCTCTGCTGTAATGAAAACAGCCCCAGTCTGTCCAATCTCTCTCCATAACTGAAACTCTCCAGTCCAGGCAACATCCTGGTAAATCTCCTCCGCACCCTCTCCATTGCAAGAGGAACGTTTTTTTTAATGAAGCTGCTGATTGAGTTGGGACGTGATTGAGATGTATGAAATAATGAGGGACAAAGACAGGGTAGACAGGAAGAAACATTTCCCCCTTGGTGGAGGGATCAATGACTGAGGGGGACATAGATTGAAGGTAAGGGGCAGGATGTTTATAGGGGATGTGAGGAGATACTTTCTCATCCAGAGAATGGGGAGAATCTGGAACTGACTGGCTGTAGGGATGGACAAGGCAGAAAGCCTCATCACATTGAAAAATTATTGAGACATGCACAGCAATGTCAAGTGATTCAAGGCAATGGGCCAAGTGCTGGAAAATAGGATTAGAATAGTTATAGAACCCCTACAGTGTGGAAACAGGCTATTTGGGCCCAACAAGTCCACACTGCCCCTCTGAAGCACATCCCACCCTGACTCATTCCTCTACTCCTGCATTTCCCCATGTCTAACCCAAACATCCCCAGACATTACAGGCAATTTAGCATGGCCAATCCACCTACCCTGCACATCTTTGGACTGTGGGAGGAAACCAGGGCACCCAGAGGAAATCCCCACAGACACAGGGAGAACGTGCAAACTCCACACAGACAGTCACCCGAGGAATTTAACCCAGGTCCCTGCTGCTGTAAGGCAGCAGTGCTAACCACTGAGCCACTGTGCTGCCCTGCTGCCCTTCACTGAGGGGGGAGTTAGGTGGTTGTTTTTGACCAGCACAGACATGATGGGCTGAAGGGCATTTTCTGTACCATAGACCTTTCTGACTCTATGACACAAACTCATGGACAGCTTCCAAATGGTAAGATTGAGGTAAAGAATAGAGATGAAAGGAAACTCCGTTGACCCAGGCAATGCCAGAATTACCCCCATCCCCAACTCAGCTCTTCACTTCCCGGAAAGTATTATTAAAACCCAACAATTGAACCTGTGATTGGACAAGCAGGACTAATTGTTCTAGATTCAAATGACTCAGAACATTTCACTTCAGAACCAGTAGACCAATGTTGTCTGGTCCCTCTTTAAACAAGTTACAGACAACTCCCACCAGAAAGTAATGAATGAATTTGCTCAGGAGTCTCACAATACCAAAGCAGTCAAATCAATATGAACACAAGCTGGTCCCAATGAAAAACAGTTCCAACTTTACCAGGCACAAAGTTAACATCATGTCTCTGATTGTATTTAGCCCCATAGGGTTACAATGCTTTCCAAGTCTCTTGTAGATTTACACAGTTGCTGTCTCTCTGGGACTGCTTTCTTCTTTCTCTCTCTGGATGGTTAGCTTGTCTCTGCCTTTTGCCGTGCTGGTTTCTTCAGAAAGCCTCCAGAAGATTCCAAGAGAGGTTCCAACAGCGAGGTCCGCAGGTAAGTCCTGTTTTTATAGCTTTTAGATAGTTTTCAGGAATTTTCTATAGTTCTGTCCAATCAGGGAGTACACTGAATACAACAACAACAACAACAAAAACAAAGTTGCTGGAAAAGCTCAGCAGGTCTGGCAGCATCTGTGAAGGAAAAAACAGAGTTAACGTTTCGGGTCCGGTGACCCTTCCTTAGAACTTCGGGTCACCGGACCCGAAACATTAACTCTGTTTTGTCCTTCACAGATG